CATTCATATGCAAAAGCCACTGCTTGGAGCTTGGGTATGTTTGTAGATTGTGTAGGGTGGTATCTCAGAGTGTCCCTAGGCTAGGGCGTGGCAAACAGCGATGGCTGCCAGTCTTTCTGACAGCGTCCCTGGGTCTCGCGCCCCAGAACAGCAAACAATTATAATTATTCTTGCGCGCAGCTCTGCAAGCAAGCTACCCTCACTTTCTGACCCAATGACACAGTCCAGCTTCTACCCAGAAACTGGATTTCAGAGAGATTGAAAGCTTGTCTCTCTTCGGGTTGAAGAAAGCAACACCTGCCGCCAGCCAGGATCCGCCACCAGCCCGTATGGCTCGAGTGCCCCTGTACCTCAGTTTTTCAGCGCTTGTGCCCTGAATGCTTCAGTCTAGTTGTAGAGGTTCCACTCAGCCAGCTTTCCCATGGTTCTGGGTGATAGACGTTTTGTCTTTTAGTTGTAGTTTTGAAATTGTGCACGGCAGCAGTTTAGATGTTTACTTACGCTGCAATCTTGGTTCTTTTCTTTTTTTGACTTTTTATAAGAGTTTATTTGAGCCAAGCTAACATGTAAGAAAGCAAGACCTCAAATGCTCCCTTTTTTTGTAATGTGTTTGGTTTCAGTATTAAGGTAATACTGTCTCTGAAGAATGAATTTGTAAGTGTTCCTTCTTCTTCAATTTTTGGCGATAGGTTAAGGATTGATGTTAACTCTGAATGTTTGGTAGAATTCACCTATGAAGCCATTTGGTTCTGGACTTTATTTGTTGAGAGTTTATTTTTTTATTACTACTTCAATTTTATTGCCAGTAATTGGTCTTTTTAGATTTTCTATTTCAGTCTGGTTCAGTCTAAGGAGGTTATGTCATTTCTAGAAATTTATCCATTTCTTCTAGATTGTCAAATTTGTTGGCATATAATTGTATTTTTTGAGTGAGTCTGTTTATCGCTGGTGTTGGATGTACCTTCTCTTTCATTTATGATTTTATTGGGCCTTCTTTACCAAAGGTTTGTTAATTTTGTTTATCTTTTCAAGGAATCAGCTTTTAGTCTAATTGATCTTTTTTATTGTTTTTAAAATTTCTCTTTCCATTCTGACCTATGTCCTTCCTTCTGATTATTTTGGGTTTTGTTTTGTTTTGTTTTGTTTTGTTTGTTTTTTGTTCTTTTCTATTATACTTCCTTTAGGTATAGAGTTAGATTGTTCATTTGGATTTTCCTTTTTAAAAGATTTTTAAGAATTGGCTTAAAAAATATTTTTATTGATTTCAGAGAGCAAAGGAGAGGGAGGGAGAGATAGAAACATGCGTGATGAGAATCATTAATTGGCTGCCTTCTGCACACACCCCCTACTAGGGATCCAGTCTGCCCCGGGTATGTGCCCTTGACCAGAATAGAACCCTGGTCCCTTCAGTCTGCAGGCTAATGCTCTCTGTATACTGAGCCAAACTGGCTAGAACAGGATTTATTTTTAGAGTCCGCGCTGCCTCTCCAGCCCCAGCCCGCACGGCCCCGCGGCCCCTGCGTGAAGCCCACACTCGGGAGCCTCTTGCGCTATGGCCGCCGCGGGGGTGGGGGTGGAATGGTGGTGGTGGTGCCTGGCTTCTGCGCGCCTTCTCCACAGCCGGCCGTGGGCGGGGCGGCCCGGCAGTGGCTGCTGGTCGCCAGCCGCCTCCCTGGGAGCTGGGCGAGCGGCAGCGCTGTGAGGCGGCCACTGAGCCTGTTGGCCCCGGCGCGTTGCAGCTCAGAAGATAAAATAACAGTCCACCTTTTAAACCGTGACGATGAAATATTTAACAACCAAAGGAAAAATCGGTGACTCTCTGCTAGATGTTGTGATTGAAAATAATCTAGATATTGATGGTTTTGGTGCATGTGAGGGAACCTTGGCTTTCTCCACCTGCCACCTCATCTTTGGAAAGCACATATACGAGAAATTAGAAGCAATCACTGATGAGGAGAATGACTTGCTTGATCTGGTGTACGGGCTAACAGATAGATCCCGGTTGGGCTGCCAAAGTCTGTGGACAAAATGACTGTGCAACTACCAGATGCCATGTCTGATGCCAGACAATCCATTGATATGGGCAAGACCTCCTAAGATAGAATAAATGGGAATATTTTCACAAAATTTTACCCATTTTTATAATTATTATTTCTTAATTAAATGAGAGCGTGGATGAATGGGTTTACTATTATGACCTGCTCTACTACTTTAATTCACCTTGTATAACGACTGAATTTTGTAGTCTGAAAGTATGCAATCTTTATTTTGTTTACATTATAAAAAGCAAATCAAATATTAGAAAACATGGTATTTTATCAAATATATTTAGCAACTTTAGCAAAATATTTTCATATGAATTCTATGCCTAGTTGCCTATAAAGGAGGTTTAAAAAGGCACTGTCCCTGTGAGATGCAGGTGAAGGCAGAGATCCAAGATCACTTGTCTAGGGCCATACAGTGAATTAGGAAATTGTACCAGAACCCACATCCTGTTCTACAAATTTAATGTTTAAATTGAAACTGAAGAAATTATGAATATCTTATTTAGAATAGTAATTAGTGTGAATGTGAATGGAAAAAATACTGTTGCTTTGTTCACTGATTAATTTCAAAGATAGTTGTAACCTTATAAATATTTCAAAATTTTATTCAGTGAAAAGTTTCAAGTCTGAGCATAGGCAATGTAACTCTGTCAAATAAGTTTGATCTCAACCTTTTAAGAAGGGCTAGGTTTTACTGTTGTATTGTGTTTTGAAAGAAGTTGGGACTAAACTGGAGGAATGAAAAAAAATTATTTTTAGAGAAACATAAATGTGAGAGCAAAACATCAATTGGCTGCTTTCTGTATGCCTGCTGCCAGGACATGTGCCCTGACTGGGAATTGAACCAGCAACCCTTTGTTGCCCAGGATGACATCTAACCAAGTGAGCCATACTGGTCAGGGCTTTTGGGATTTTTCTCATTTTTTTGAGGTAGGCCTGTATAACTATGAACTTTCTTCTTAGAACTGCTTTTACTGCATTCAGTAAATCTTGAAAAGTTGTTTTCTTTCAAGATAGTTCTTGGTTTCCTTTTTTATTCATTCATTTAATAGCATGCTGTTTAGTCTCCATGTATTTGTTTTTCCAGTTCTCTTCCTGTAGTTGATTACTATTGGGTCGGCAGCTAAGTACTTGCGGATTTTAAAAAGAAAATCAAAGACAATTTTTTCATGGAACTAAATAACTTTATTCTGTAATGTATTGCCCATTTTGATCAATGACCTTTTGCCATCTTTCAGGCAGCATCATAATCCCACGTTCAAAAAACTTCTGGTTTTTATTAGCAAAAAACTGAATCAGGTACGATTTGACATCATCATCATTATTGAAATTTTTACCATTCAAGGAGTTTTGTAAAGATCGAAATAAAAAGTAATCAGATGGTGCAAGGTCAGGACTATATGGTGGATGTGGCAAAACATCCCAACCAAGCTCCATTAATTTTTGCCGAGTGACCAAAGATGTGTGTGGCCTTGCATTGTCATGATGGAATACAACACCTTTTCGATTTGTCAATTCGGGCCGCTTTTCTTCAACTGCATTGTTTAATTTTGTTAGTTGTTCAATGTAGACATCAGAATTGATCGTTCGGTTGGGTGGTAAGAGTTCAAAGTAGACAATTCCTTTGTAATCCCACCAAACTGATAACAAAACCTTCTTTTGATGAATATCAGCTTTTGATGTTGTTTGAGTTGGTTCACCTGGCCTGCTCCACGATCTTTTCCGCTTGATATTGTTGTAAACAACCCATTTTTCATTGCCAGTTATCAGTCGTTTTAAAAATGGATCATTTTCATTATGTTTCTTTAGCAAATCGCAGCTGCTAATGCGTTGCGTTAACTGTGATTCTTTCAGTTCGTGAGGAACCCATGTATCGAGTTTTTGAACATAGCCAAGTTGTTTTAAGTGATTTTCAATGCATGTATGTGATACATGAAGCTTCTCTGCAATCTCACGTGTTGTACTGTGACAGTCCGAATTGATTATTGCTTTGATTAGGGCGTCATCAACTTCAACTGGACGACCAGAGCGTTTTTCATCTTTGAGTGAAAAATCACCAGAACGAAATTTGGCAAACCAATTTTGACACTGCCGTTCTTTTAAGGCTTCGTCACCATAAACAGCACATAACTTTTTATGAGCTTGCAATGCGTTTTTCCCTTGTGGAAATAAAAAAGCAAAATATGACGAAAATGTGCCTTTTGATTTTCCATTTTTCAACGAACGCCAAACGAAAACTACAAAACAGATCAAAAAACTTTTTTTTACTGATTAACAGCTGAATAGCCAACTACCAAATAACAAAATGTGTTTTACATTTGTACTACGTCTGCAAACCTAAAAATTCAACTGAAGCCATATGTGTGAAACCCGCAATTACTTAGCTGCCGACCCAATAATTTGATGATATTGAGGTTAAAAAAGATGCTTGATAATGATTTCAATCTTTTTGAATTTAAGGCTTGTTTTGTGGTCTTAGTCTGGAGGGTGTGCCATGTGCATTTTATTTTAAATATATATTTTATTGAGTTTTTACAGAGAGGTAGAGAGAGGGATAGAGAGTTAGAAACATCAATGAGAGAGAAACATCAATTAGCTGCCTCTTGCACACCCCATACTGGGGATATGCCTGCAACCAAGGCACATGCCCTTGACCGGAATCAAACCCGGACCCTTCAGTCCGCAGACCTAGGCTCTATCCCCTACGCCAAACTGGTTTTAGCTGCCTTGTGCATTTTGAAAATGTGCCTTCTGCAGCTTTTGGGATGAAACATTCTATAAATGTCCATCAAGTCCATCTGTCTAATGTGACATTTAAGGCCATTATTTCCCTATTAATTTTGTGTCTTGATGAACTCACCCATTGATGTGAATGGAGTATTAAAGTTACCAACTATATTTTATTACCGTGGATTTCTCCCTTTATGTCCATTAATATTTGCTTTATATATTTAGGTGCATCTATGTTGGGTAGGTAGATATTTATAATTGCTTTATTCTCTTCTTGGATTTACCCTCTATAATTATGTAATGTCCTTGTCTTTACATTTTTTGTTTTAAAGTCTATTTTCTTGCCATTTGAAAACAATAATTTATTGCTTTTTCCTCCAAAGCTTTGTGAATTTACACAAACAAAAAATCAAAGTTTACAGACTGCTTATTTCAGACTAAGAATGCAAGAGGTGAAAACCTGGGTCATGGGTGTGTACCAGATATGCACTGGCATTAGAAACAAGGCCTCCCTAGATTTATTTTATTGCCTTCAGAGATGATGCATCACTCACACCATCTCACATGCTACATGTGGGTCCTTAGTCAAAGTCAATGGAATGGTACAGAGGTTTGTTTTTTGCTATATGAAATTTTCAGTTCATTTCTGAAAAATAAATTGGCCAATAAATTCATTTTGTTCTGCTTCTACTTTACACAAAGCTTCATATTCAATCCGATACCTTTCAGGCTGCATTCTTTTCTGTTATTAGTGCTTGGAGTTATTGCTATTGGGCTTCTCTCTGCTTTGCTATAGATTTGAGCAAATTCTGAGCACCAAAAGCCTTCATCTTCTCATTTTCTGCTTCTTTTGTAAGTTGGTCAACAAATAAACCAACTATTTTCTGAAATGGCCAATTTTGTCCATAAAGCCCTTATACTCTTCCTTGAGCTCTATGGTCTGGGTAACCTCTGGGCCCAACATCTGCAGCTTGTTCAGTTCATCAAAGTGTAGCTCTGCTTCACCCAGGATGTCCTTGTCCATAGCTTCCGACCCTACAGTTGTGGCACTTGGCAGCCCAGGCTGAAGGTAGTTTCTCTTCGGTCCATGGCTGCAGTACCTGGCCCACCAATCTCAGCTGCTGCCACGGCTACAGTTTATTTAATTTTTATTGAAAATTATAGCCTGTCTGATGTGGCTCAGTGGATTAAGCATTGACCCATAGACCTAGAGGTCCCAGGTTTGATTCCCAGTTCAGGGCACATGACTAGGTTGCAGGCCTGATCCTCAGTAGGGAATGTGCACGAGGCCAACTGATAAATGTTCGCTCTCATAGATGTTTCTCTCTCTTCCACTCTATCTACAAATAAATAAAAACATTAAAAAAAACAAAAAACATATTTACTGATTTTTAGAGAGAAACATTTGTTGTTCCACTTATTTATGCATTCATTGGTTGATGTGCCCTGACTGGGGATTGAATCTGCAACTTTGGCATATCAGAACAATGCTCTAACCCAGTGGTCGGCAAACTGCAGCTTTCAAGCCACATGCAGCTTTTTGGCCCTTTGAGTGTGGCTCTTCCACAAAACATCACGTGCGGGCGCACACATACTGTGTTTCCCCGAAAATAAGACCTACTTACAGGTTTCCTTCTGAGTGAAATATAAGGCATCCCCCAAAAATAAGGCCCCCCTAGGCTAAACATGAGAGATTTGGTCCACTGATTCTAAAATGGAGTCACAAGAAATTCACCAGGAAATTCAGGAATTGGATTGTTACGATGATGTTCCAGAAGATGACATGATTGTCATTGAATAAATGAGTAAATTCTTTAAAAAAAATATATATTTTATTGATTTTTCACAGAGAGGAAGAGAGAGGGATAGAGAGTCAGAAACATCGATGAGAGAGAATCATCGATCAGCTGCCTCTTGCACACACCCTACTGGGGATGTGCCCACAACTAAGGTACATGCCCTTGACCAGAATTGAACCTGGGACCTTTCAGTCCGCAGGCCGACGCTCTATCCACTGAGCCAAACCAGTCTCGGCTTGAGTAAATTCTTGATACTGTAGGATTCACAGTTTGTCTGGTTTGTGTTGACAACTACTGTACTACCGTACCGTATACAGGTAATGAACTTTATTTTCATTTAACAATAAATGTGTACCATATTCTTCTTCATGGAAAAATAAGACATCCCCTGAAAATAAGACCTAGCGCATCTTTGGGAGCAAAAATTAATATAACACAGTCTTATTTTCGGGGAAACAGGGTACAAACTTCGTAGCCCATGCGCAGAAGTTGGTTTTCAGTCTGGGTGAATCTAATTGAAGTAGCGTTAGAACACTCAAGGGGCCAAAGAGTCACATGTGACTTGCAAGCCGTGGTTTGCTGACTACTGCTCTAACCAATTGAACTACTTGGCCAGGGCTCCAGCTTTCCTTTTGTTTCTATTTATATGGGATATCTTTTTTCCATCCTTTCACTTTCAACCGGTATGTCTTTTTTATTTTTTTATAGATATATTTTTTATTTCAGAGAGGAAGGGAGAGAGAGAGGTAAAACATCAGTGATGAGAGAGAATCATTGATCTACTGGGGATCGAGCCTGCAACACGGGCATGTGCCCCAACTGGGAATCTAACCATGACCTCCAGATTCATAGGTGGACATTCAGCCACTGAGCCATGTCAGCTAGGACAGTGTATGGTTTTTTTTAAAAAAATATTTTTTTAATTGATTTTAGGGAGGGAGAGAGAAACATCAATGAGAGAGAACACTGATTGCCTGCCTCCTGCATGCCCCCTACTGGGGATCTGGTCTGCAACCCAGGCATGTGCCCTGACTGGAATTGAACCATTGACACTCCCCTCCCTGAGCCATTCCCCCCCTGGGCAACCCCCACTGCCCCAGTGTCTGTGTCCACTAATATGCATACATACAAGTCCTTTGGTTGCTAACTCCCCCTCCCCTGCCATTTATCTCTGGATCTATTCTTGTTCATCAAATTAGGGTCATGTTTTTTAATCTATTCAGCCATAATATCTGTTGGAGTACTTAATCCATTTACATTTAAATTATTGATAAGTATGCACTAATTGCATTTTGTTCATTGTTTTTTGGTCTTTTTAATAGCTCTCCTTTGTTCCTTTCTTGTGGTTTGCTGGCTTTCTCTAATATTTTGTTTGGGTTCTTTCTCTTTTTTGTACTTTTTGAGGTATATGTCAATCACTAGCAGTTAAAGCTTATAGGCATTTAAATTCAAATATATTCTTTTTTTTTTTTAAATATATATTTTATTGATTTTTATACAGAGAGGAAGGGAGAGAGATAGAGAGTTAGAAACATCGATGAGAGTCATCGATCAGCTGCCTCTTGCACGCCCCCTACTGGGGATGTGCCCGCAACCAAAGTACGTGCCCTTGACCGGAATCGAACCCGGGGCCCTTCAGTCCCCAAGCCGACGCTCTATCCATTGAGCCAAACCGGTCCTGGCTCAAATATATTCTATAAGGATTACATTTTTATACCACATTTTATATTATTTAATGTTGTTTTAGGTCTTTTTTGTGTTGTCTACTCTCTACTGTAGTTTGAGTTGCCTTTGATGCTTTTTCCTTTGGCCTTCAGAGTAGCTTTTTAAAAGAGCCATTCTGTTCCTAGATCTGGAGTGGTCTGCCGAGTCAAGTACTGCAATAGCCTCCCCGACATCCCCTTTGACCCCAAGTTCATTACCTACCCTTTCGACCAGAACAGGTGAGATTTAAGATTGGGAATGGGAAATAACTCAATAGTATGAGCTCCTTGCAGGCAAAGACTGCTTCTCGTTGACTGTTCTCTCCTCTGGGCCTAGAATAGTACCTTGCACATACTATAGTAGTAGGTGCCTGGTAAATATATATATATATATATTTTTTTAAATATATTTTATTGTTTTTGTACAGAGAGGGGGAGAGATAGAGAGTTAGAAACATCGATGAGAGAGAGTCATCAATCAGCTGCCTCTTGCACACCCCCTACTGGGGATATGCCCGCAACCAAGGTACATGCCCTTGACCGGAATCGAATCCAGGACCCTTCAGTCCCCAAGCCGACGCTCTATCCATTGAGCCAAACCGGTCTCGGCCTGGTAAATATTTGTTAATGAGCAAGCAGTGTCCAAGTTTCTTCCCACTGGAGAACCAGTATTTGGACTTGAACATGGGGGAACATTCCTCTGAGTTCCTCCCTGTAGAAATTTAGCCTCTGTGAAGCAGGGATTTGAGGGGTAAAGCTGAGTCAGGAAACCATAATGGGCATGTTTCCCTACCTAGGTTCGTTCAGTACAAAGCAACTTCCTTGGAAAAACAGCACAAACATGACCTCCTGACTGAGCCAGACCTGGGGGTCACCATCGATCTCATCAACCCTGACACCTACCGCATTGACCCCAATGGTATGTAGGGAGGCAGGGAGGGCGTCCTTTAGGCTAGCAAAGGCCAGGCCTGGACCTCTATCATCGTTTCTTACTCCCTTACTCTCCTCTAGTACTCTTAGATCCAGCTGATGAGAAGCTTCTGGAAGAGGAGATTCAGGCCCCCACTAGCTCCAAGAGGTAAGGGGATAGGATGCTGAGTGGGGACTGGGCACTGGCTCCAATGGAAGGAGGGTGGTGAGGTCCTGAAGTGCCTGATCCTCCACTTTAGGTCTCAGCAGCATGCAAAGGTGGTGCCATGGATGCGGAAGACAGAGTATATCTCCACCGAGTTCAACCGTTATGGCGTCTCCAATGAGAAGCCTGAGGTCAAGTAAGTTGTGGTAGGTAGGGAGGAAACGTGGAAGTTTCAGGTGTGTCCAGCAGTGGTCCCTAAAAGCCTTTCTTTCTCTTCACCCCTAGGATTGGGGTTTCTGTAAAACAGCAGTTCACTGAGGAAGAAATTTACAAAGATAGGGATAGCCAGATAACAGCCATTGAGAAGACTTTTGAGGATGCCCAGAAGTCGGTAACTGAAGGACTAAGATGGGGAGGCAGAAAAAGAGGTGGCTTCAAAACTCTTCATCCTCCTCCTCCTCACCCTGTTTGTGTCCCTACCAGATCTCCCAGCATTACAGCAAGCCCCGAGTGACACCGGTGGAGGTCATGCCCGTCTTCCCAGACTTTAAGGTCAGATTTGGTACACAGGAGGCAGAGTTGTGTTATCTTTGCATGTCTCACTTCTAACTCCAGTGTCCTCTGTCCACAGATGTGGATTAATCCATGCGCTCAGGTAATCTTTGACTCTGACCCAGCCCCCAAGGACACGAGTGGTGCAGCTGCATTGGAGATGATGTCTCAAGCCATGATCAGGTAAGTGGCACTGCTGCCAACCTTGGCCTATTTCTCATTGCCCTTTGTCCTCATTTATCACTGCTTTTCCTCTTCCCCAATCAGGGGCATGATGGATGAGGAAGGGAACCAGTTTGTGGCCTACTTCCTGCCTGTGGAAGAGACGTTGAAGAAACGAAAGCGGGACCAGGAGGAGGAGATGGATTATGCACCGGATGATGTGTGCGTGGGTTGTGGACCGAGAAGTGTGTATCCCTTTCTCCCTCATAGGGAACAAATGGGGCTAACCCTGTCCCCCTCATCCTCAGATATGACTACAAGATTGCTCGGGAATATAACTGGAATGTGAAGAACAAAGCTAGCAAGGGTTATGAGGAAAACTACTTCTTCATCTTCCGAGAGGGTGATGGAGTGTACTACAATGAGTTGGAGACCAGGTACTTGGCACATATTTCTACCTCAGATTAGCATGGGCCTGTGCTTCAGGGTCAAGATCCTAGGATATACCACCCTGGAGGACATTTGTACCTAAAGATTTGTCACAGAAGCCTGTTCATGCATGTGGGCTAGCTCTGTTTCTAACACAGTAACCCACAGAGAAAGTGTTACATAAACACTGAAGCTCTTTAGACCTTTTGTGTAGGGTAGACAGCCAAATTTCCCGATATTAAGAGATTTCATGTGAAAGAAAACATAGCTAAAGTATTGGATTATACATAAAATTAGCATATTTAAAATGAGATCCTAGATACCCAAGTTAAAAAATGTGACCCCAAAAACTCTTCTCCGATGGCTAAAAGTTTATTTTTGGCTAAGGCCTTTGGTGTAAGGGTTGGAAAAAAGTGTGACCTTGAATTTTAAGTAGAGATTACAAATTCTGATCCTGTAAGCCAAGCAGGAAATTTGAAAGAAGGCACAATGGGCTGGTGGGATCTGGGTGACCTAGAACTGTTGGCATTCTCCAAGGGGCACCACAACCCAGCTCAACAAAAGATTCCAACCCATTGCTGATAAGTTGTAGGAAGCAAAAAGACCTGGTGGGGCCATAGATTCATATTTTTCCCTAAACCAGACATTTAGGGTCTATGTTTTTAAGCATTGGTAACTAATTCACATTAAAATTTATACACACACTTTATGAAGTGCAGAGCAACCAAACTGCCCCTCACCTGCCCCAAAATAGAGTTTAATCTCCCTTATTAAATCTGTATTTATTCTCATCTGTTCTGGGCTATGCATTGGTGAGGAATTGAAGAACCACGCTGGAGTTCTCACTGGGGGTTTTTAACTGAATCTTCCACACCCCTCCCCAACTTGCCCACTGCAGGGTCCGCCTAAGTAAGCGCAGGGCCAAGGCTGGGGTTCAGTCGGGTACCAATGCCCTGCTTGTGGTCAAACACCGGGACATGAATGAGAAGGAATTAGAAGCCCAGGTAACAATTACCACTGGCTCAGGGCACCCAAGGGGTGGTGGGTAAAAGGGACACAGAAACCTGATAGAATACTTTCCCTTCCCCCCTGCTGCTTCCCAGGAGGCACGGAAGGCCCAGCTGGAGAACCATGAACCTGAGGAAGAGGAGGAAGAGGAAATGGAGACAGAAGAGAAAGAAGCTGGGGGCTCAGGTAAAGCTGCATGGGCTAATCCCTGGGAACTCTGGGAGGGTGGGAAACTGGGTCTCACTTCTTTCTGTTCTCTCACAGATGAGGAGCAAGAGAAGGACAGCAGCAGTGAGAAAGAAGGCAGTGAGGATGAACGCTCAGGCAGTGAGAGTGAGCGGGAAGAGGGTGACAGGGATGAAGCAAGTGACAAGAGTGGTAGCGGCGAGGAGAGCAGTGAGGATGAGGCCCGAGCGGCCCGGGACCAGGAGGAGATCTTCGGCAGTGATGCGGATTCAGAGGACGCAGACTCTGATGACGACGGAGGACGGGCCCGTGGCAGCGACAATGATTCAGAGAGTGGCAGCGATGGAGGTGACCAGCGGAGCCCCAGCCCCAGCCGCAGCCGCAGCCCCAGCGGCAGCGCCAGTCCCTTCCCCAGTGGCAGCGAGCACTCAGCCCAGGAGGATGGCAGTGAAGCCCCAGCTTCTGATTCCAGCGAAGCCGACAGTGACAGTGACTGAATCCTTTCAGGGCTGGCACAGACATTATTATGCACAGGAAGGCACTTTTCTGTGGTGTATTTGTGAGCCTTTCAATGTTTCCCTTCCCTCCTCCAAACCTTTGCTGTTAATAAAACCAGTTTCTCCCCTTCCCAGTCCTTATGGTCTCCTTCTGCCTACATCTCCCCCTCCCACTCCGTCACCCTCTCCATCCCTACCCCAGGTACTCAGTGGCCTCAGCTTAATGGCACAGAAGCAAAGGTGACAGGTTTTCAATGAAATGTAGCATAACAAAGAAGCCTTTTTTTGTTATGTTTTTTTTTTTTTCTTTCCAAAATAAGCCCAGACCATTAAACAAGTGAAATTCCAACAAATAAATCTCCAACAGCGAGAAAAACTGTACAGTTACTCAAAGCTGATTCTGCCCGTGGGGCTGGGGATAAAAGGGTGAAGTTATGGTGAGGGTGGGTGGGGTGGGGAGGGAGACTGGGGGCTGGAGCTGGAGAGGGTCAGGGTCCTGCCCATCAGAGTGAGGCCGCCAGCGTCCTGCACACTCTGGTCAGGTTGGGGGCGGTGTTGACCGGGGAACGGGGGGGGGGGGGGGGGGGGGGGAGAAGAGGGGTGTCCCTCACCACCTCCCAGTGCCAGGCAGAGCCAGCTCACCCTGATGAATAGTGAACAAGATGGGACTGGCTGGAAGGAGGCGAGGGTCCTGTAAGAGGGACACCCTGCAGATTCCAAACGAGGTGGCCCCTGTCCATCCCACTTCCCTGGGCTAGTGGGAGGGGAATTAGGGAAGCCCTGGGAGTTTGAGGGGAATGAGCAAAGGCACAGAAACATGGAGGGGCCGGGGTGGGGGACTTGCATAGGTTGATGAGTGTGCAAGAGGTACATAAATAAACCTGACACCCCACCCAGCCCGGCACTGGGAGAGGAGGTAGGAACCTGGAGCAGGTCCCCAGGGCTACACCCCCTCTCCCCCAGGCTTTCTCCCTCCCTGGGCTCAGAGTTGAGGGAGGTCCAGACCTGGAGGGCAGGGGCAAAAATAGGGGAATGGGGTGAGAGTGCTGGGAGGGCGGTGGTTTTAAAATTTTTTTGGTTTTTTTTTTTTCCCCAACATCTTTAATAACATACACAATGGTTACCAGCCATATTCATAACAAAAGTTATTCATAAAATGTATCTAAAAATAACATTTTTTTTTTCCCTTTCGGTGTGAAAAGCTTGAGAATGTCCCAGTGTGCGTGGGAGGGTTGAGGGGAGAGGGGGCTGGAATAGGGGACCCTGGCTTCCCCACAACCTGAACCCTCAAATCCCCTCCCTCCACCTGGGCCCCAGCACAACCCAGGGACCAGAGGCTCTGTATGACTCCAGGGCTGGATATTTCTGGGTTATGATATAGTGTTCCACTTAATGAGGTCATGACATAATGGGGAGTGGGGGAAGGATGAGAGAAAAGGGGGTGGGGAAAGAAACCAAAACCAAACAATCCCCTTTCCCTTATTCCTTACCCCCAAGTCTTTCAGCAACCAGACCTGGGAGTGAAGAGTATTTTGATGGGGGAAGGGGATGTTAAGGCAACAGACTTCCTGACCTCATTGGCGGTCCTGGCTCCCCACCTTCAACTTCTGCATCTGGGGAGCCAAGGCTGGGGGAAGTGGGGAGGGCTAGGGGGTCTGGAGAAAGGGGCTCTGCCCCTCTCCCCTCATAAAATTCAGGTTCCCCCTGCCACTTTCTTGGCTCAGAGAGAGGCCTGGGGATTCTAAAAATGAGGGAATGATCAGAGAAAAACCGTTAAGAACTATATAAATATGTATCTTAAATAGGCCTAAGAAATTAATTGTAGAGAACCTTTGATAAACAGGGCAAAAGGAGGTGAGAAGAGGATGGCTCCTGTCCTCGGGGAATGATGGAATTGGGAAGGAGAAGAAGGTGGCGAGAAGAGGTTCCTCTCCTCACCTGCCTTCTCCTTAGCGCCTCAAAATAATATTCAGGAGAGCAGGTTATCTACCCTGCTTGTCTCCCCAAATGTCTGATGGTTCTGAGCAGGCCCCATAAGACAGCGGGTCAGTGAGTCTTGGGGGAGAAGGGGGCTGCTCCCTCAGGAGGGGCAGGAGGTGAACATTCTGGAGGAAACAGGGGTGGGATGGGGCCAGATGGATATAAGGAAGGAAAGGGGGCAGGCAAGTTCCTGCACCCTTTATTCTGGCTACCCCCTACATCCCCGGGCCTCAGCAGAGATCCCTCAATGGGCCCAAGAGTGAGCAAGGCATGTGCCAATGTTAAACAAAAGTTAAAAGGATGACAGAGTAGAAAAATATTAGAATGTATAGCTGAGCCAGCCCACCCTCTCGCTGTCGCAGAGAAGCCTGTTGGGGTTGGCTCCCTCCCGCCGCCCAGGGAGCCTATGGGTGCGCTGGGCTGTGGGTCCCGTCAGATGGTGGAGGTTTTGTCTGTCCCATCTGTGGTAAGAAAGGGAGGAAGGGAGGAAGATCAGGAGCTGGTGGGAAGCTTGAGAAAAGATGTTCAGGTAGCCTGCCATCCCAGTCAGGTCCGCCCTGAAGTACAGCCTCCCCTAGGGCCCCCTCAAGGATGACTATCAGTTGCTCGGTTCAGAGGTGGAGACGCTGCTGGGTAGGTGGAAGCTGGGTCAGGGAAAGAGGAAATGCTCACCACCCAAGGCGTGTTCCGTCATGCTCAGACACAGAGACTCCAGAGTGGGGTTGATCTCCAGGTCAGGCCCAGGGACCGGACAGTCTGTATGGGACAGAGGAGAGTGGAGGTGGTAAGGACTGGCTTAGGTGGAGAGTAAAGCTGGAAGACAAAGGACAGGATAGGCTGGCATTGGGGAGAGGCTGGGAGAGACAAGGGGGAAAGGAGGGAGGGGGAAGAGAGAGCACAAGAGACAGGCACACACTAGGATGGAAGATGTAACTAGGCAGAGATGAAGGACAGAGATAGGCCTGGGTGTATCACGAAGCAGGTAGCGGTGGCAAGGGCAGAGGCTTGGCCAACAAACAGAAAGCCTGACTGCAGACAGAGGAATGTGGAGCTTCCTGGAGGCCACAAGGCTGGACTATTTTGGACACACACTATACGTTGTCTTCTTGGGCACAGTCTGGGTACCTGCTGTGGGTGCTGGGCAGCCCGTGTTCCCTGGCTGATGACCTGCTCTATACTTCATTCAGAAGCTTAATTAGAACTTCTCCCATCCTTTCTTGGACCTTCTCCTCTGGGATGGATTTGATCTGGGCAAGCCACACAAATGGGGCAAACCAGGGCAGCAGCCACGTGGCTTATCCTCAAACCACCTCTCAAAAGGGCTTCCTCTTTGGAGTCTGGGAGACAGCCCCTCCCTGGGATAACTAAGATCCACCCCACACTACTTAAAACCCTTCCTGGCTCCTTACATCTGAGCTTTTTACCGGGGTTTAAAAGTCCCTGCTCCCACCTCCAGCTTCACCTTTCATCATGTCCCCTCTGAACCCTGAGCTCAGGCCATGTCAGACCACCTAATTGTCTTCCCTTTGGAGTTATCTCTTCCCTTGGGCAAGTTGTCTCTTTGTGTCTCAGATTTGTGACTGATCAGTTAGGAGTGAAATCAGTCCCTCACTTGCAGGTGGGAGGGTTTGGTTAAACAGTGCAATAAAACTGTCTGACAAAAGCCCAGCATATAGCATACCAGTAAAAAGAATTGTTCTTTTTTGTTGCTGTTGTCCCTGCAGTTCATCCAGTCTTATAACATCATTTACAGGTGGTAGGCCCTGTGCTAGGATGAACACAACTGACAGGGTCTCTTGCCTTCAACAGATGGCAGTCCACATTATCTTATAAATTAAGAATCCCTACTGATTTAGCAGTTTATGACAGGAAGAGTTTAGAGTCACCTGCATATCTAAGGTCTCTCCAGTAGCCATTCCAGAGTAGCCTTATCTGCCTCGGCAGCCTCGGTGCCCAGCAACGGGCTTGACACAGGAGTCATCCTCACTCGTTGAGCAAGGTTGGGCTAACAATCCTCTACTCTTCTGTCCTCTTCACCCTCATTCTGATCTCCTATCTCTGGGCTGGTCTCTGAGCACAGGAAAAACAGTCCCTCCATTTATCCAAGAAAAATCTGATCCAAGAGCTAAATGGTTCTGGCCTGGTCATCTGGCTTCTGAAAAAATGCCAATGGGTTAATAGACACTTCCAAAGAAACCTCATTGCTTTGACTCTCATCCCCTCAACCCCTTCCAAACTGAGTACTTAATGATCCTCTAAAAAGATGATGACAGCTGAAACCGGTTTGGCTCAGTGGATAGAGCGTAGGCCTGCAGACTGAAGGGTCCCAGGTTTGATTCTGGTCAGGCGCATGTACCTTGGTTGCGGGCACATCCCTGGTAGGGGATGTGCAGGAGGCAGCTGGTCGATGTTTCTCTTTCATCGATGTTTCTCACTCTATCCCTCTCTCTTCCTCTCTGTAAAAAAATCAATAAAATATATTTTAAAAAAAAGAGAGAAAAAAAAAGATGGTGACAGAGACTGACATGAATACCAAAATTATGACATAGGGAGGGAGAGATGTGGACATGGGGGAGTGGAAGTAAGGGGTGAGAGAAGAAAGAGAAAGGAAGGCAATTCTGGCTTTGGTAGCACATGGTAGCACATGTAGCACATTTATTACATGGTAGCACATGTAATAAAATTGGAATGATACAGAGAAGATTAGTATGACTCCTGCACAAGGATGAAATGCATATTTAAAACCAAGAGAGAAAGGAAGAAAAGATCTGAGAGAGAAAATTGAAATGGGGGCAGGGAAGAGTACAAGAAAATCCACGAGAGGTTGGAAGGATCGGGAGAGGTACTCAGTGTAAAAGAAATAGGAGAGAAGATAAAGGCCAGCTAAGGGTGTTGTGGAGGCAGAATCCCAAGGGCTAGGGCACTTTACCTGGAGGGAACATGAGAATGGCCTGCGGTGAGGAGTGGACTGGGAGCGAATGTGTGCGCTGCACAGAGCTACGGCTCTGGCTGGGCATGCTGTTGCTGCCTCCAGGGTTGGCAAACCATAAGTTCTGCAAAGGGCATGGGAAAAGGTAAAGTGGGTGAGTGGTGGAGACCAGGCCCAGGAGTAGTGGAACTGGCAAAGGAACCCCTCCCCTCTAATCCAGGCCCAGATCAAAGATACAGACACACACATCCCAGACACCACCACCCACCTCAACCCCAGAAGCACCAGGCCCTCTGTATCTAGCCGCTCACCTGTCGGCCCTGGCCCCCAAGGTTGGGGCTGGTGAGGGCATGTCTGGGGGAAATGCCCCCAATGCCCGAGGGGCTTAGAAGGCCCATTCTGCCGGGTGGAAGGGCCCGGGGAGGCATTGGGAACTGCCGCTGG